CAAACTTTGTTGTCTTTGTAGGGAAGGATTTGTTCTCTTCTATGGCAGCTCAGTTCCTGATGCCTTAGGGAAGTTCTGGTGTAGCTGATATTCTTAGGTTTGAATGGATTGAAATTGCTACCTCAAGACCAATTTTTATGGTCAGTGGAAAGCAAAAGTCTGGTATTGAGTAAGGACTTCACTAATGCCGCAAGCTAAGCTTATTTCCAGCCTCAGTTTCCTCCCTTCAAAGGGCAGGTGTCAAAATGATGGAGCTGGATTCTTCATAGTGATGCCTAGCAATAGAACGAGAGGCAATGGGCACAAAGTGGAACACAAGAAGTTCCATACGAACAGGAGGAAAATCTTTGTGAGAGTGACTGAGCACTGGAAACGGCTGCCCAAACAGGCTGTGAAGTCTCCTTCCCTGGAGATATTGAAAACCTACCTGGACACATTTCTGAGTCGTGTATTCTAGGGGACCCTGCTTGAGCACATAACTACCACAGCCTATCGTATAACACAGATGTGATAAGTGTCATTTTAGGGCCTTAGAACACTTTTGTCTTTATGACTACAAACTGAAGATTAAGTTTTGAAGTAGAATAAGATTTCTGAGAAGTCACAGGGCAGTGATTGCAGTGTCTGATACCTTTCACCTCTCTGTATTAGATCTCCATAATATTCAAGTAGGAATGTGTGGGACAGTAACCAGCCAAGGAGAGATGGAAATGGTTCATATCTGTTTCTAGACTCAGTGGCTAATTAAATGCTGGTTAATAGCTAATGAAAATGACAAAAACAATCTTTAAAATGGAGCTCCAGAAATCTTATGTGCCGTATAAGGGACTCCTGCAGGTAGAATCAGAGTCAGTTGCCATCTCAAACCATTACTGCTGTGTGGTTGTGAACCTCCAATTTGTATGTAGTGAGACAAAGGGGTGAAGGTTTGAGATAGAAGTCAGTGACTGTTTTTAGTAGGTATCTGTTTTGCTTCTCAGATGTTTTTTAAAAAAAAAAGTTGCAGTAGAGGAAGGCTCAGAGCAGAGGGAAGATTGATTGATTTCTTTATTTTTGGCACACAGCTCTTCTTTCTATATGAAAATCTTCTATGCATTTACTGTTGATTTATATTTGGCTTTTCAGATCAGTTGCCTTTGTTATAGTCAGCTGTGCTGAAAGGTAAAGCACCAACTTGTTTCAAGTGAAGGTGTTTCATGTTAAGACTTTGAATTTTATATTTTTTCTTGCCCAAGGCAAATCAGCTGCATTTTGATTTTTCTTCATCTATATCTGTAGAGAAATTAAACCAGCAACTATCTTCAAAATAGAACAGAAAATGATTTAGAGAATTGCTAAGAACAGTAATTTGGTTGGAGGCATAAGATTATTTTTTTTTTCTACGACAAGGCTCTCACTTTAAAGAATGGAGTAGGCTTTTCTTACTCTTCCATGTTTTACATCATTTCAAAATTATTTCTGAAATAGAACCTGCTTATTCCTTGGGAAGCACATAAATAGAGAATTGTTTCGTGTCTCTAGGAGGACTCATTTGGGCAATAATGGCTGTTAGTTTTCCTAACAGGAAAAGACGTAATGGTGAGGTTAAGAGAATTGATATCTGTGTTCTGCAGTGGGTTCTGCTGCACAGTTTTGCATGAGATATTACTTAATCTGTCTCTTGTTTCTCTGGAACATGAAGGGTTCTTTCTGATTACTGTAAAAAGCTTAAACAGCCACGAAAAAACCTGTGGGTGATATAAACGAACAGTGAGACAAAAAAGTATGGACAGAGCTCATCTCCCTCTATGCTGCATGAGAACTCCTAGAACTCAGGAGCTGCAAATATATTTTCATCCAAAATCACCCCAGCAGTGCAGACTTGGTTGAAAATTATCTTAATAACTGCGGGAAAATAAATTATTAGACTACATCCTGAACAATTAACCTCTGCACTCTGAGCAGAGGTGAGAAAGCAGCGATGGCCTTATAGCCCCAGGAAGAATGGAAATGCTTAGGCTCAGTGGGAACGGAGCTGCAGCCCAAATGTCTTATTCCTGAAATTGTTCTGAGGGAGGGCTGCTGTCCAGAAAGCAGAGAGAGGTGGAAAGTGGGCCAGGCCTTTCAGATCCCTTTGGACAGGGAGAGACTGACATCATTTATCCTAAGTACTTCTGGGCAGAACATATTTGCATCCCCTTTTGCAACAGGGATCTAGGAGTGAAGCATCTTGAAAAGGAAGGAAAGGGTATTTTTCTGGTAGCCAGCATCAGCAGGATGGGCAGAAGTTGGTTTTGCATTGGATGTGGACTGGATGCCAGTGCCACATCAGGGACAGAGAGGAGTTTTTGGGGCACAGGTTGTGCATTTTTTCACCTGTCTCCTCCTCTGTTCCTGTCCCTAGGGCCAGTCCGTCCCCCAGACCAAGGGGCTGCAGCTGTTGAGCAAGGCAGACAGCTGGATCCCAGCACAGGACAAGGTCTGCCCCTCAGCCCTGAGGCACAGTAGACAAGGTGAAGCAGTCTGTTTTTTTCCTTGCACCTGTTTTGTGCTGTTGAAGCAGTCACAAATCAGTTTTCACATATAGTTGAGATTGTCATTTTGATGTTTGATTCAGTAGCTGAGTGGTTGAGTATGGTTTGGTCTTCCTGCATTTCTATTCACATTTTCTTTGTGCTGTACTCTCTTTGCAGTGATCATGTGCTGTTGTTTGTACCATTTGAGTGGTGCGAAATGGTGTGAATCTACCATGTGGAGATTATCCTTAAGGAGATGGAAATTTGTCAGTTAAATAGAATATCTCATTGTTCCTCCCATTTTCAAAACTACAGCTATTAACCAAACATTATTATTATTATAATATTATACTCAGTTATTAAAAACAGGGAGCATGAGCATCCTTCTAAACATCTTAAAATCCAGTCAGGAGGGGATTCTGAAGACTGAAGTTCAAACTACATCTAGCAAGGGGAACGAGCTGTTGCAGCCCAGATTAGTTTCCAGATAACCAGTGCCAATCATAAGGGGACTACATTTTCTGGTAGCATGGGCATAACACCACCAAGGCTGTCTGGCACTGCACAGGATAGTTCTTCCACACAAAGAGAACTAATCCTAGCAAGACAGTTTTGGTGTGACTTATGTTCCTTCAAGTGCTATCGCAGCAAGGCAAACAAATGGCATCATTTCTCAGTGTTTTCAAATAAGCAAGCCTGAAATCAATATGAATTTATTCCTTGTCTCTTCCTACAGCTGCCAGAGAGATGTTTCCACTCCTCTTACAGACGAGAATGTATCTTCATGTAATGCACGTTATGTATTGTACTTGCTTCAAAACAGTGTGTGCATTTGATTGACTGCCTTGAGCAGACATATCCTTCCCTTTGCTGATGTGGTGATGAATGGGGCCCCTCAAGCACTGTGATGCTGGACTTAACAGATTTCATTTTTCACTAAATGATGGTTGAAATTCCTTTCTGGTGTAAACAGTGTGGGGTCTATTCACACTGTTTTTAACTCACACTCTGAGTAAGCTTGACTTTTTCGCTTGATGTGAACGAAGTCTTGTTTAACTGCAGAAGGTATACAGACAGCATTCAGTAGCTTGGATTTTCAGGATTTTATGATTTGTAGTTTGAAAATTAGAAGTCAAATTTGGTTGTAGTGGGAGCTAGTTTTGCTGGAGTGTATGAGAAAGTGATGATTTAAAACGTTTTTCTGTGCCAGAAACAAGTACACTCCATCCCCTAACTGAAGTTCTTTGAAAAGTAAGTTCTGCTTATTTTCGGTGGCATTGCTCTGGCTTTGAAATTCTCATCTGGACTCTTCACAGTCTGTAACACCTGAAAAGCAGGGCTTAGGTCACCTATTTCTGTTTTCAGTGAGGAATAGGTGTATGCTTTGAAGCAGCTTAAGGAGGAATAGTAATTTCATTGAGCAGGGATTTTAGAACTATGGTCCAGAAATGGAAGTTTCATCAAGAAATGGCCCTTCAGCAGAACAAAATACTTTAAGCATCATCATATTCTGAGTTCTCCTCAAGGATGTAGCTTCTATTTCAGAGAGCCTTATTCCCCAGCAACAGCTCAGCCAGCCTAACAACTGGATATTTTATGGCAGGGTATTTGGCCTCATTAGAGGAGACTCTAATGATACTCTGCTGGCACAGTGAAGTATGCCAAAGCACAGGTTCTCACTATTATTACTATTGCATTAATACGATACACAGTGTTTCTTGCTAAAAGGAATGTTAAAATTGTTTCTGTTTACCTGACACTCACTTTTCCACTCCTTGCTGCACTGTACCAAATAATTGTCTACCATTAAATAGCAGAGCGTGTATCAGAAGTGAGTCTGGGTTCACTAAAGGTGATTATAATCCCAACCTCGCTCTCCTGGGGGAGTTCCTGCCTGCAGGAAAAGATGCAGATGCTGTCAGTAGCCCACAGAAACTTTATTAGTATTAAACCTTGTACTGCAGGCAGTGCAATTGGCTGTATTTTGCTAAAAACAGGTGTTTTTTGTTTTTTTTTTTTTAAGGGGAGGGAGATTGATGACAAGCTTTATGGCTGGCACAGAGCTGAATTTGGCACTCTTGCACATTGCCGCAGGATTCAGCTCTGTTTGTGTCAAGGTGTTGATAAGCAGGTGATGAACAACAGCTGTTGATTGCTGTGGGTTTAAGGTTTGAGAAGTGTGACATTAGAATTCAGAGCAATCTTTGATATGTAACAGGTGCTTACCCACCATTTCTTAACTTCTAAAGTCTGTATCCTTTTATGTCGTCTTTGCTTTCTTTCTTTCGAATGGAATTCAATCAAACCCATTTTCATGCTGGATTTAATTTCTATGACTATTTTCTGTGCTAAGTTGAACAGACAGTAAGGACAGCTAATTTGTAGTTGGCTGAAATGCACTTACCTGGCATGTAGAGTGGGGCAAGGACGTGCTCACTTAGCATGTGTTCGTTACCTTTGAGCGCTGTGAGGCACAGTTGGAAGTAGAAGGGTCTAGAGGTAGGGGTTTGTTGTTGTTTTTTCTGGTGCCTGGATGGGTGCTGTAACATAATGTTGCTAAGTGAGCCCTGATGTGCCTCTCTTCACTGAGGCTGGTCCCCTTCAAGCAGATCTGCTCCAGAAAAGGAGACAGAAGACGGAAAATGCTTCATGCCTTCTACTTACATCTGAAAAAGGGTTTGCCAGGTATCATGTAGCCAACTTCCTTCCCACTTACTTTATCTGCACTGAAACTGAGCAGCCTCTAGGGAAGTATTCAGTTATATCTGTGTATGGCAGTGTTCCTAGCACCACAGCAGATGTCTGCATGTGTGTTAAAGATGAGAGAGGATGATCTCCAGCTCTGAAATACAAGGCCGTGCAAGAGAGAGAAGTAAGACAAAAACAAATGGCCAGAGATCAAGGATTAGTGCAGGAGGGAGCCCGGAACCTTATGACCAGCTGTCACTGTCAGAGGTAAGCCCATTTCTTCTGAATAAGCCATGTTTTGGCAACACTGAACCTGAACAATTCTATATTTTCTTGCCTGTCTCTTCAAACCAGCCTAAGTGTCAATATTTAGCAGATGAGAACACAAAAGGCTGGAGTACAGGTAGTGAGAGCTCTCATCCCTGCTTGGAAAAATGGCCAAAGTTGATCTACAAGCAGTCTGTCATGCCAGAAAGCTGGCTTTGAGCCCTCAGATTCAAATGTGTCCAGCATCAGTGTTGCCTTCCCCACACCAAACTGTGGGAAGAAGCAGTAACTGTTATTTAACAGTTTCCATTCCGATTAATGCTGTAAAATAAAACTAATCTACACAAGTGTTATTAATGGATTATATTTACCCTGCAAGCATAAGGAGGGAAGTATATCACACATGATGGGAGAACGAAGCCATTCTGAAATCACTCATCTGCTTAACAGTGCCTGAAGCTCAGCTGCACTCACTGGGGATTGTTTTAAGTAAAGATACTCAGCCCTTCAAATTCAACCTGATTCTGTAACAGATATAATACAGAATCAATAGTTTCTAATTTGCCATTTACTTTTGCTGTCACTAAACAAAATCTCACCTGTTTAAAAACATAAGGCAAATGTTTGTGTGTAAGTGTTAATCAAAATTTAAAGCGAGTTCCTTTTAATTTCAATTTAATCAATGTTTTATTTGTTAATATGATGTGTTTACAATACCCTGCGGAAGCAATGCAAAGCTACTGTGTCTTGAACCTGTCCAGGGCTTTTACATTTACATTTTAGTTAAGGGCAGAAATTCAGTGCAGAGGTAGCTTGTCATGTCATATAATTACTCCTATCCCTGCTCCTCCTCCTGGTTCAAGCTATGGGAGCCGATGTGGCTCATGCACTCAGCTGACGCTTCAGCTGCTCCTCACACATTGTTTTCCTGGGAGAGCCCGGCGCAGGGGAGTGGAGCTTTCTTGCAGCCAGAAAGCTGCTTAACAGCACAAGCTGTAAGAGAAAGGCAGCCAGCTGGCTGTCTTACTGGGCACTGTAGATCAATGCTGATTAATGGATGCAGTTAGGTCTTGTTAAGCTGTTCCCCATTGTTTATGTGAGGAATCTCTCACATACACCAACTCAATTTTTACTGCTGTCATGGAGAAAAGCTGTTAGTAACAATTAAACTGAGCATAATTAGTGGGAAGGTCTATTTTTCAATTTCTGTGTATGAGGCAGTAGTGTTACAGAACAGATTTTAGAAGTCTCTGCTGAGAGGGAGAAAATAACCAAGCAACCTTCATGCTATGTTCTTAGCCTAGCTGCTAAGAAAATTTAAAACATTTTAAAATTAGCAGATTTAAGTTTCTGAAGATGTATTTTATCTAGCTATCCTGCATTTTTCTTGCTGTCTTCTCACGTCTGATTGAGAGTGAGATCTAATTACACTGATTAAAGTAGACTTACTAAGGCCTGTACATTTGCTAAGCTGTAAGCAATTACCCTCCTTTTCCTAAGGGGAGTTACTTTTTTTTCTTTGTCCAGAGTTGCTCTTTCTCTACTTTCCCAACAAACTGTAGAATATCTTCAGCAAGAAGTTCAGGTTCCTCCAATGCTGCAAAGTGGCCACCTCGAGGCATGAAATGGAAGGAAACTATGTTGGTGTATTTCTTCTGGGCCCAAGCCTGGGGTATGTGCATGATTTCATTAGGAAAGGAGGCAATGCCAGTAGGTACTTGCACTGTGAGCCTGAGAGAGAAGAGAGAATAATTTTATCTTTCAAACACTTCACTGAGCAAGAAATGGAAAGTCCCTTGGAAATGCTATTCTTCAACAGTCAGGCAGGCCTACCAGGCAATTAAAGCTGACTTCCAGATCTTAAATTTGAATACTAGACAACACTCCTGTTTCTGAGGGGGAAAATGCCAAAAGACTAACTTTTTGCATACACTGATACAGATGGCAGTTTTGTAAGGGATCCATGACAGAAGAGTTAGAAGCATGGAAACTGAGATCTCCAGGAGGCAGTGAGTATAAGGTTTCCTCATGCTGCAATCAGGGCTCAAGAGTAATGTACTGAGGGAAAAGCAAATTGACAAGGGCTGAAGAGAAATTTACAGTGCAAATTACAACTAGAACATGTTGAGCCTGTCAGGACAATGGGAGGGTTTGAGGAGAAGAACCTGAATGGTGGCTGCAAGGCAAAGGTGAGAAGAGGGAAAGCAGTAACGGTAAATCTGGACTAGCTCAGAGAAAGCTTTTCTTACCATGAGATTTTGTCCTATAAAGCGTACTCCCATAGACAGCTCTTGCTTTTAACTGGCATGAATGTGCTCTACAGAATATTTTCTACACGAGGAAGTAAAGAGAAGCAACTGCATTTCAAGGGAAAAGTACCTTAAAGTGGAACTGTCCATGCTTGTTACAAACAGAGTAATACATGTCGAGGGCCTAAATATCCCCTACACGTGAGCCGCTTTGTCTGGAGTGACAAAGATTTTAAGATTTAGACAGAAGAGGATGCCTGCTTTTACGTAGGTTCTTGAGACTCCTTCCTCTAGGCATGTAGAAGTTCTGTATAGCTCATCTCATGTAGGCAGAACTGGAACAGGATACTGCCCACAGTGCAGCCACAACAGCTTCAAGAACTGTTCAAGAACTGAGTCAGCTTTCTGGGAGGATCATTTCACAGCTAAATAAATAGCAGTGAGCTGTGGTTGCATATACCTCAGGGCAGGTTTACCTCTGCGTTCATGAACTTGCAGCAACCACAAGATACAAACAGCTTATCTGCAAACATAGAATTCAATTCAAAACAAAATATTTAAAGAAAAATAGCACTTACTTTTCATGTTTCTGTGTGCCTATTCCTTTATGCAAATTTTCTTTGTAGAAACGCATTGAGGAGACCATGCAGCCTGACACCCAATAGATCATGATGTTGGTGAGAAGATCATCCAGGTTAAACTTCCTGAACAGGTAACCCCAGATATTTCTTAGTTACTAAGTAGTACAAAATTTAGTTATAAGGACTTCACTTTGGTTTTGTTGAAAGAACTGTTTAACTCATTAAGAATAAAAATGGAGAGAGGAAGTGTGTTAACTTCCCCCTTCCTGTCAGTGGCCAAATAAACATGTTATAGGCTTTCAAACACAAACTGGAAAGTGAAATTTTAACTTGTACAGGACAGACAGACTCCAGTATAGCTGTCTATACTGTCCAAGTCTGGGAGAATAGAAGCAGCAGAGTTCATAAAGCAGATTGCACTATTATTCATAATTTAAAATGCTACCATAAGCTTTCAGTACAGGAATTGCAGGTACTCCAACATATGCAATAATTAGTGCAAATTCAATATCAAGTTGTAAGCTGTTTGCAGTGAAAACACTCTATTCAAATTCATTTTCATTGGACCCTTTTGTAAAATGCTGTTTTGTTCAATTCCTGCTAAGTACCTCAGTAATTTTCAAAAGGAGCTTCGACTATTTCAGACTTTTAGCTCAGAGTAACTGTGATCACTTATTAGCAAACTGTACACAGATGAAGCAATACTGATTAATTTAAAGCAAGTTCACAAAACAGTTAAGTATTAATATTACAGTGAAATGTGAGTCGTGTTTTCGAGCATCTTAGATCAGGTGAAGTTTACATTTGTCTGTCCTAACACTGTACTTCCACTTAAGTCAGTTTTCATTCCACAGAAGCTGGGGGATGTATCTCTTTGTAGGAGATCAAACTGGGAAGTACAGCACTGCACCATTTGTAGTCTCTGCAAGCTCCTTATGAGATGTGATAGACATTTGTTTAGCTTTGACTTGAGGCTTAATCACCTCATCGAAAATAGCACTTACCTCTCAAGTCCTCCATCTTCTAAGTTAAGGAATTCTGGATCAGTCCACACAGAAAACTTCTCCAAGATGTATGCAGCCAGTCCTACTGGAGAGTCATTCAAACCACAGCCTGAAAAGGAGGAGGGAAATTTAACTAAAAATGAGATGTTCTACTGCTGTTCTCAATTTTTTTTAGTTTTAGATGCTGCCCACTATAGTACAGGGGAAATAACTTTACAAAGCTATTCCAGCACCTGTGATCCTAAATAGATTAACAGAACAAGTCAGAGCCATTTATTGTTGAATCATTAACACAGTACCTGCAAGTCAGCAGACTCCAAATTAGCTCATACTGAATGTTTTTAAACTGATGTAACAGTATTGGAATTTCTGATGGTTTGGGTTTTTTTTATTTTTTCTTTTCTTTGTAAGCTAATAAGATTAAGCACTATGTGCCAAGCAGGGTTTGCTTCCATTAATCTGGAAGTTGGCACATATTAAACAGTACTACAGGGCCAAGTCCCACATGCCTACACATGACCAGAAGAATTTACACCATTGTCTAACACCAAAAACTTTTTAAGGATTATTAGGAAGTAATTAAAGAAGAGCAAGGCTTTGTTAAAAGGTCCACCTTCCACACTAGCAAAAGCAAACTGTTAGTTGAGTTTCAGTTAACAAACAAGTAACACTTGTAATACATAGATACTAAATGATCCAAAAAGCTGATTTAGCATGCAGAATTGGACAAGCAATATACTTCTCATATAATTCACTTTGATGGAACAAAGAAGAGTGCATCAGTTTACACATAGATAGAATTTACATTGATCCTCACAGTACTGTGAATACAGGCACTGCCTCTTCAATCATCTGAAAATGACCTCACACTTCATGCAGGTAAGTATAAAACCAGATGCATGCATCTGCTGATCAAAAGCCAGCTCAGAAACAGCCAACATACTAGGATCAGCTAAAAGTCAGAAATGACTTCCCTGCTTAGGACAGCTCCATGTCGTACCGTGTACCACCAGAATACTCAGGAAGACCTTGGCAGTCTTCCTGGCTGGGCTTCTCTCAGCTCCTGTCAGCTTCCTTCTCCTCGGTGTTATTTTCCCAAGAAGTCTTCCCCTCTGCTGTTCCCCCTCTCTTCACTGTGCTCAGAATTGCTCCTGCTTCAGCTCTCAGAACATGAACTTACTGCTGGTTCCCAATCTGTACAGTCCACACAGTCTGCTGTGGCAGATCACAGATCACAGCTAGGGACCAGAATGGGCCAGAAAACCACAAGAGAAAGCCCACCTGTGACTGGGTAACTGCCAGCTTCTTTGTCTTACAGCAAACAAGGAATTAGAGACTGATAACTTTTGGAAATCACAACTCAAAGCAAGCCAAATTATTTTAAATCCATAAAACTATTATTTTGCCAACGTTTTTAGAATACCCCATTTTTGTAGCTAAGTTTATGGAAGGACATTAAGAAATAATTTCTACAACTCTGTCTTTATTAAAACCTATAGTGAGTGAGTCTTGCTGCACTAAAATAAAATACATTTAGTATTCTTGACTCAATTTTTCAATTCAGCTGCAAAAGATACTTTTAAAATAGAAACACTTCACAGTTAAAACAGTTAAGCAATCTGATTGATTAGCAGAACATTCATAGGGATACACATTTCGTTTTCTTTAAAGTTTGTAAGTGATTCATAGCAATGAGTAAGAAACAAATTTGATTTTACCTTTCAGGTATTATTTATGTCTATAAATAAACTAGCTTGCATGCTGAAACAGCTAAAAGCTTTTTGGAGTTTACATCTTTTGACTGTGATTGATTCTCTGTAAAGAAACTGTCTTTTGTTCTCAGCATAGCTGCATTTGTAATTACAGTCCCCAGTGGCAGCAGATGTGGAAAAGTATTGTGCCATTTCTATTTATGAAAACTGAAAATGAGATCAGTGGCACTTGGAGGGTGCTTGCTGTTGAGGTACAGATGTATCCTTTTGTATGCAAAAGTGAGTTTAATACTAGATACCCCTCTACCATAGAATGGCTTGGGCTGAGAGCCATTCCAAAGACCATCTTGTTCCAACCCCCCTCCTAGTCTGTTATGAGTTACATGCATGCAGAAGAACCTGCTGTTTAAAACCTCTAACCTTCCTACTTCCATTTTTGTGAAAAACACTCATCTTCTGCATATTTCAACAAGGTGTTTTGTTTTTATGACATTGCAGCTAAAATTAAATAAGTATTTTTGTTTATTTCTTTACCGACAGTATCAGGTCTTGTAGCCTGTATGTGACTATAGCCAGACTCTTCCAACATCTTGTAGAGCCCCTTTTTCAAGAAGGGAAACATCCTCCTGACGTCTTCCTCGTGGAAACCAAAGAGCCCTGGAAAGTAGCGGCCCAGCAGAATGGAGAGCAGGTGGGTGAACCCCAAGTTTGTAACTAAGGCTAGGTTTAAATGAAGACCTTTCAGATGGCTAAAAATAAAAACAGAAAAAAAACCCACAAATTACTGAAATAAAATATGACTCAAAGTTGTTAAATGTGTAATATAACATTTTATGATGCTTTGATATAAATGTTGTTAGATGTTATATTACTAATCTATAACCTATCTAAAATAGATTACATATATAAATGTACAGATATAAAAAGTTACATTTAAAATATACAGAAATGGGCATCCTTTAATTCCACTCTCCCAATTACATCACTGCTTACAACCTTGGTTGTACTTTGTAATGTTGCTTTTCACACAAAAACAAGTCAAAGCGGCAGCTGCCAGTGGTCAGCATACAAACCCAGCTACTAAGGCCCAAATTCTGCTATTAGTGTAAGTACTCATACCATTCCAGTCCCTCTGGGACCATCACAAAGCTACTGCACAGCTGTTTGTGCTGGGGTACAGTTCTGATAACTGCTTTGCATGGAGCACTGAGGAGGAAAACAACACAGTACTCGCTTGTTTATGGACTTGGTTTGGAACAGTCAAGTCACACAGAATCACAGAATTGTAGGGGTTGGAAGGGACCTCTGGAGCTCACATCCAGTCTCCTCCCAGATAAAGCAGATTCCCCTGCAGTAGGTTACATAGGAAAGTGTTGAGGAGGGTCTTGAATATCTCTAGGGAAGGAGACTCCACAACATCTCCAGGCAGCCTGTTCCTGTGCTCTATTATTCTCACTGTAAAGTCTGTGAGCAACAGCTATTTAAAGAATAAAATAGCTTTATACACCAGTTGTGGAGCAGTGTGTCAAATGAGTACTCACCTGGGAGCTATCTGGGCCAGATTGGTGCAGATGAGCCAGCCACAGTCACCACCTTGTGCGTAGAACTCGTGGAATCCCAATCTGAGCATCAGTTCATAAAATACAGAAGCAGCGCTTACAGAATCAAAGCCTGCAATAAAAAAAAAAATATTACATTAATTTCAGCTGCACTTCTGAATGTACAGCATTTGTTCTCCCTGTCATGACAACAGTTAAATTCCTAAAAGGATACAAGTCCATTTTTCCTCACCTGTCTGACAGTATATGAAAGCCCTTGTCACATTGTCTGGGCAAGGTCCAGAGGAGGAAGCCCAGTCTTCACTACAGCCTCCCTTAACCCCACCTGTTCTCCATGCATTTGTCCCACCAAGGGGTTGCTGGACTCCTTCTAAACGACAGTCATGCTCTGAGCTGAGCCCTGTCAGAGACACTTGGCATTGCTTGGGGAATGTGTTTCCATTTGGTCTCTGTGAGAACAGTCTTATCTTAATGATAGCAAGAAACTGTCTTATTCATGAGTCTTCACTTCATAACTTTGCATAGTCCTTTCAAAAAGATCTATATATTACTCCTGAATCTAATTAATGGTGACACTCATCTCTCTCTCTCCATGTGACATGTGAAATCTTTGCTTCTACGCTGGGAAAAAGAAGAAGAGGCAGAAGTTACCATCTGCCAGTAGAGGCTGTCTCGCTACGAGTCTGGACTTTTGTTAGTTCAGTTTCTTCTTACACATCTTACCTTTTTTGTGAGGTGCTTCTGAGAAGCCGTATCCAGGGATGGAGGGGCAAATGACTTCAAATACATGTTCACTGCTGAGGCCGTGGCTGGCAGGATCCGTCAGGAGAGGGATAATTTTGTAAAATTCATAAAATGAGCCAGGCCAACCATGAACCATTAACAGTGGCTTTGCAGACTGGCCCTCAGGCAAATGAGGAGGCTTTACATGAACAAAGTGTATATCAATGCCTGGGAAAAAAAACCCAAATATGCCTAAGTTTTCTATGACACTGAAACTAATTGCACAACAGATTCTGAATAAATCTTTTCTGGTTTGGTTGGTTGGTTGGTTGGTTTTTTTTTTTTGTAAGTATGCAAGTACCCTGCACCTCTAGGGATCCATGTTATCCAAGGAGCTTAAAGCGCTTTATAATGTACAGTTAAGCATCACTACACCTGAATGAGGTTGTTCTCTTTCTGTTTTAAAATATATTGGAAAAATAAGACATAGAAGTGAAGCAATCTACCACTGCTAACACTGAGTCAACTTAAAAGCAATGAGACGATTGCATCATCTAGCCCAAGAGCCCTTAAATTTTACCCAAATATCCCTATATGGCACCAGAAGGCTCTGTTAGTCACAGATTTTTCTTCCTCAAAGGCATACAATTGCAACTTGAAGGCAGCAAGAGATAAGGAATCCATCATAAGCAGCAGCTGTTTCTTTGGGGGCATTAATCACTTTCCTTATTTTGTCCATGCCTGACTTCTCATTTCAACATGTCTAGCTTCTTTCTCCAGCCATTGATCTTAATGTTAGAGCAAAAGGAATTTTAAAAGCAATCACTATGCATTCTCTGTCTGGAGTTCATCTTAACTTTTGATGAACTAACTAACTTGTGTCCAGGATTTGAAAAAACACGTTGCTAAGAGTTTAAGAGTTCATTAAGAGTTCTTGATTCCATTCTACCTTTTATCCAAGCCTTTCAGTATATTTTTGCTAAATCAAAATAGAAAATTATGTTCTTGTACCAGCCTGGTCATTGTAAAGCAAGAAGGTAAAAATTGCAGTTCTATTTTTTTTCCGTGATCCTTATGATGTACTAGTGATTTCACACAGTGTTGCATTAGGACCTACAGGTTATCTGCTTTTCTTCAACTCCATTCAGGGCTCTGCTTTCCAGGAAACAATAATTTGCTCTTAGTAGAACCTGAATGATTCATTTTATAATGTATTTAAGCACATTTCACTTGCATCAACTCCATCCCAGCCTCTCACTGGCTGAGAATCCCCCTCCTTTACAACTCTGTGGATTTCTGCATTCTCTGAAAAACATTCAATGGATAACAAAAGCTAAGGATCCAGTATTCGACATCGGATCCTGTCTTTTCATGGCAATCACTCTTAATGTTCAAATCTCTCTTCTTGTTGCTATACACATGACATCGTTCTTAACTTCTTTTCCCTTTCTTGTCTCAGGTGGTACTTTTTTTTCCTCTTTTTTTTTGGTCACAAATTTATTTTAAATATTACAGTTAACTGCCCCATTTCAAATAATGTGCATTCATGGGGCCAAGTAAAAATAATATTGCATGATTGCATGATCTCAAGCGTGAATTTTACAGTCACATAAAACAACTGTCTGCTTCGCCTAAATCCATAGCTGCATATCAAATCACCCAAGTACATCCCTAACTGAAGTATTTAAAACATCCAGTTTGACCAAGCTCCAATAATAACAGACCTTAACTGAATGGCCTCTTTCAAAACGTGTCTGTTTTGAACGAAAAGACAAAGCAGTCACTTGGACCTGGCAACACATCAACTCTAAAGGAAAGGCATTCTGCCTTCCTAGGTCTATGAGAACACGAAATGGTGCAGCAGCGTACGTTGGCCCTGCCAGGCTGGGATAAACATGATCAGCCAGCACACTCAGCTGATGATCCTGCCAGACTGACAGCATCACCGTGACAGCAGCAGCTGGGGAGCTGCATGGAACAAGAGGTGGCATCTGTGGGTATTTTTGCATGATCGCAAGTCAGAGAACACTGCTACATCTCAGGATGCAAATCCATTTCCGAATGCTTGTGCTTGGCTCTCTGTAACTCCAACGGACAACCCATCCATGCACAGGGAGATTCTGTTTGTCCTCAGCGGTTTCAATTACAATGAGGTAGTTTCTCACTTCTGCTGTAACAGTGGCAAGGATCCACATTATGGCAGCCACAGAGGGAAGGCTCATGCAGCATGGCCAAGAGCGTTCTTACACTGAGATCTCTGTAAATGAGATTATGTATTACTGTTTATTTTTAAGGAAAAAAAACAGATACCTTGAATTTTAGTTTTGAAGTGGGGATACTTGTTGAGAACTTCAACTTGTTTCTTCCAGTTGAACTGGTTTTTCCAGTAGGAGACAACCTTCCTGAGACATGCCACGTTAATCCCATAATGGAAGCAACTGTCCTCCAGTGGCTCAGTGAATCTAGCCTGGTCAAGTCTTCTAAATAAGTCCTACAGGGAAAAGAAAAGAAGGGAGAGATGTTACAAGCACTTGTGTCTGCTGTCATGCTCTACTGTGTACAGTTTCTAATCCTTCCCAAGTGGAAAAAGAACAGTGTCTGAATAATGTCTCCAGTGATGACTGTGCCTTTCACCCATGCTCCATCACTTTTTTTTCACTCCTTGTTCTCCTCCAGATGCTCCCTGTTCCTCTTCCAGTTATAGATGTTCTTAACACCTTCGCTTTCTTTAGCAGCACTGGCTAATCTGTCTGCCAGGCCGATAGCCACAGAGGGTAGAACCCAAAAAGCAATACTGCACTATGAAGAATCTTGATCAAATTAACCTCAGAATGTAAGTCTTCTTGCCTTTTCATAGGGACTACCTTTGAGCCCAGTCTCACAGAGAATGCAGTGAATGCTCATTGCTCTCCTTCCCAGACCAAGCTGCTGGTCCTTCACTGTGAAACACTGAGAATTTCACGCAGTGAAAGAGTTGGTGAAACTAGACTGCAGTGAATGTTTCCAAATCATGTGAGGTCACTACTGCACTTCACGGTCATGGGAGATGCTGCCAATACTGCAAATTCAGTCAAAAATCACTCAGCAGAGAAGGACAGCCAAGAGCCTTCTCCCTGAAACAGAACCACAGAATAGTTGAGATCTGGAAATCCTACCCTGCTCAGGCCTCTGTGGGGCTTGAACTTGAGCAGCACTTTCCAATAAAGACATCTTACACTTATAAGACAAGTTAGGTGTATGTGCTGGCTCATGCCTCACACTGAACAGGCAGATATCAGTACATAAGTTTGGTATTGTGTTTTGGGTTTTTTTCTTTGCAATTAGCACACGTACCAAAAAAAAAAAGGATTTTTAAATGAAGCCTTTGACACATTTTGATGTACAAGTTTTTTGTCCACGTTCAACATTCAGAAAAAAAAAATTGTAACTTAGTATAATTTGTAGCTTACATAAGAATTTATTTGAAAACAGTTTGTTACTGGTAGATTATGTTGCAATAGCTATTATAAAATCAAATAATGCATATCACTAAAATCCTAAGGTTATAAATTATGTAGCTTTTTGTCTGCAGTGTAAGGGGAAGATGTATTAGAAATGAGTGTCCACTGCTATTACTAAGGAGGACAACAAAGTCCAAAAAAATCCAGGCCTCGCTTAGAAAATAGTGATCTAGAGACACATTGAAAATGAATAATATGAGCAGTCCCAGGAGTATCATTTGAATGATTACTCCATAGACATCTATGAAATTGTGCAATCCCTGACAAACACTCACAATCAAGGTCTTGTTATCTAGCAAATTCTGCTATGCATGTATTTACTGTAATTAACACTGCATTACTGTTGACCCAAGTAGATCATAAATTACAGAATTAGCATCCAAGGCAGCTGCAAACATAAGGCACTCAAGGAAATGAGATATAATTATTCTTTTTTTTTTTTCTTTCAAAACCAAAGATATTTTTTGTATTCTGGTCTACACAATTAAGCAGAGGAAGGTGCACAAAGAGGAACACAGCTGAGTAATCTGTAATATGATTTTCATGTTTATTAGGCCTTATAAAGAAGGCTTATTTACTAGCAATTTTGGGACAGACAGCTGAAAACAAAACAATACAGCAGAATGTGAAATCTGTCTATCCATTTCTATCTTCTGAAATGCTGGGAAGTCCCTTCCCCCAAGCCCTCCACACTAGTCAGTCATTTTCATGAATATTCCACATTGGTTCAATGTGAAAAATACTTCCAGCAAGGCCTGTATTTATTTGGCCACTTCTGACTTCTTTTTCCCCCAAATAGAGATTTGCTTACGCTTAGCTCTTCTTCTGTAGTTTCCACCTTGAATGGCCTAATTGTCCTATCTTCTTCAGTGTCAGGTTTCTGTCCCTTTCCCCACCATCCCTCTTTGAATGCGAGCGTCTCTTCTTTCTTTTTGGAAACCACGAAGTAGATGATGATTGCCCCCAAAATCAGGAATATCTCCAGCAGCATAATGCCTGCAAGAGAAGGACAGAACTGATGAGCCCCAACAGATAGCTCAGAGACACGTGATGTACTTGGTTAAGACTGTAAAGGTTTCCTAAGTAGAGCATCTCTTCAGTAAAGTACATATTAAAAAAAAAAAAAGAAAAAGAAAAGGTGTATGCAGAATGAGAAGCAAGAACATGAGGGCAGCCATCTTGTATCTCCCCATCACTCTGGAGTAGGGGAAGTATTTGCAAAACCCTTGAAGGGTAAAGAGTGGAAGGGCCTTCCCTTTCTTTCTCCCACTGAATGCTTTTGAAAAGAAAACAGAAGACCACAGACATGCACTCCAGCTCTTAAACACCCCTCCACAGTCAACAAAGCTCTCTTGAGGTGAAAAACAACCTGATCTCATGGCAACAGACGCATTACCTGCCTGCAGAGCTGCTGTGTCTTAGTCAAACAGAGTATCGTTTAAAAAAAAATTCATTTGGAATATATTTGAACTGCTTTATGCTGCAAGTGGGAAAAAAAACAAGGTTACTCATTCTCTTCACCAATTAATGTTTTCAAGCTTCCCTTTAAGTACAAGAAATGTTTGCTGGGGAACACTGCTGTCATCTTCTTAGTGTGTAATTTTAAAGGATGTCATGATTCAAACACTCATACTCTGAGAAACTGATAAAACATTGAGTACTTCAAAACTTCCATAGAGCAGGCACTGTTTATGGATGGCACTGAGCAGCACACATTCTCTCCAGACTTGAGAGGTTTTGTTGGTTTTACTGCTGCTGTGAATTAATTTGATGCTCTGCAATTGCTCGATCAAATAGTAAACAGAACAGAGCAACTGAATTCCTGGGTCAAAATAAGAACTGTACCTAAATTTACTCAAGTTCACATGTAACAGGGTTAAGGGTGACTTTATCTTGTAAGTGCCTTTATATGACGTGACACATTCACTTAAGTTGAATTTTCTGAAGATTGACATATAATAAATAAGGCAATTAGACGGATAGAAGCACTGAAATAAGCACCCAATAAAACGTTTGTAGAGAAGTCAGGCACTATGCAGATAGGACAGCCAGCTACAAAATGTATCACACATATAAATGCTACAGCCTTGGAAGTGACCTAATATTCCCAAATCCTCAGGAGCCAGAGAAATGAGAATGATTGGCACTGGAGGAACTTGATCTTTCTATTTGCTTCATGGGTCCTTCTGTACTGTCAGTAATTTGAGAAAGTGCTACTTTTCCTCTGCCACAAACAAGGCAAGTCTCTATGTGATTCCACTATACTTGAACCACAGATTATCCCAGAATTAAAGAGCACAATTACATTTTACTGCAGAAAGAACTTGAGGGGCATTTAGAAACTTCAAAGCACTTTACACAGAAATAATAACTACCAAGGCATTTAGTAGATAGGATTTCTCCTGTTACGTATTCACAGAGAACAGCAGTTTCCCCCAAATTATGACACAACTCCACATCTGGACTACAAAGGTTTGCCAGCAAAGCTGTACAGACACCACATATGAAAGGAAATATCTTCCACTCAAACACTGTGCAACTCGACTACCCATAGCTTGAATAATGTGCAGTAGTTACACCTCTGAATGGTGCTATTAAGCCATATCAGTAGAAAGCAGCAATGGGATGGGTGAAGCAAGTGCTCTAAGAGACCACGCTGCTTTCAGACACACACCAGAGGTTATTGTGATTAGTGTTAATAACATTTTTGCTCTAAGGTTGGTTTACTAGCAAATTGTGAGGTGGCTCAGAGCACTTAGCACACTAAGACACTGACGGATACAGGATTTATTGATTAATAATTACTCTGCAGGAGAAATAATGGCTCCATTTACAGATGATGTTTCAGTTTATTTTTGTTCTGTTACATAACCCCCCATTAGGTTTTACTGAACACGTTCCCCTCTGCCACAGCATCTCTGTTTACAGATCGATTTGCCCGGAGAGCAGCAATTACAGGTGTCTTTTCCCAGCAGATGTGGAAAGAAGAACCATTGAAGGACTTCATGAACTCACACCACCTCTAACAGAGTCTCTTTGCACTGACAACCTAAAAGGAACACAGCCATGGCACAATCCATGTGTTTCACCTTCAGCCTGTTGTCCTACCATTTTTGGGCACCCCATTTTGGCACTTCATAACACCAGAAGCAAGTAGAAAAATGAGGACATTTGTATAAGAAAAGCTTCCTACTTATGTGGTTTATGGAGCATGATGACAAACTTCAAAATAGCCAAGCAATGCAGGAACTGCTTTGCATGCAACTGATAACATCTCCCGAGTGAGCACAAAAGGATACATTAACATTGTAGGAAAAGAAGAGCAGTAGGTAGTGGGTAAAATAAAGCGTCCCACGCAGGAAAGCAAATGAAAGACAGGAAATACACATCCAGGAGAGTTTCTGGTTTGTCTTGATAAGAAATTTAACATTTACATTTTTATTGCCACAAGGAGGTGGCATACACTGATACCTCCAAAACAACAGGAAGAAGTGATACAATCCTGTTCCACAATCTTTTTCTAGGTTGTTCGCAGCTAGGAGTTATGCAGTCCAGCAGGAGCCTAAGACCTAAGGAGAGGCCTACAAACAAGGAAGGAGGTCACCTCCCCAAGAACGGGAGCCCTGCTGTCCCCTAGGGACAGGGCAGCTGGGCACCACACAGGCGACGACAGGGCTGGGGATATGCCTCCAGCACCACTGAGGGCTGTGCAGAGGAATACCCAGCATCTGTGGCAGTGAGGCACGGCTCACTAGCAGCTACCCACCTGCTTTGCCCTGTGGACAGCAGCAACCATCAACAGAAGGCTGGTTTAAGGCTCTGAATGGACGACTCAGAGCTTTTGCTTGCGAGTTAGTTTGCTGCACCTCATTCTGGAAGAGCATGTGAGTACCTTTATAACACATTCCCACCTATTCTGCCATCCTATGATAGGCAAGAGCATGAACTTTTCAGCACTGCACTGAAATCTGATAGGCAGGGAGACTCGAGCCTAGATAAGTAAAAGTATTATGGGACTAAGTTCACTGTTAGCCAATTTGCCTCACCCAGAGAAGGTGTATTTATACAACCACCACCTGGTCAAAGCTCATCTCATAATTCAAGAATTTGGTATGCAGTATTTTAAGAGGAAGGAGCTCACTTCACAAGAACATGTATTGAAGCAACATTACTTGCCCTTTCAAATCCATACCCGATGTATTCCTATGTGCTACTTTAAAACACGTCTTGTTTATCTCAGTTCTCTTATTTTGCTTCTATAATGTTTGAATAACCCCATTTCCTCCAAAGAGTCAAAAACCCCAAATAAAACAACAACTACGGGTTGCATAAACACACAGTGGCAGAATCTGACCCAGGCTGTCTGTGCTGTGTGTTACTGTAACCAAATGCCTGAATGGTGGGCATGATTTGGGGGAAAGAAGATCTGTTTCTCTGTGTCTGAAGGCTGATAAAGGATTCTTAAATCAGCACGGTTCTGTTAGAAAAGTGAAGGCCAAAAGAACTGTTCAAATTTCCATAATAGCATTTGACAGCTACAACGTTAAGGTTGGCAAACACAAAGATTCTGTGCAATTTATGCTATCTGGTGAATTCCAACAAGAAAAGCAAACAAGAAAAATATAATTTGCACATATGAAAAGAAGTGACAGCAGCCTGGCACGCGGCTGAGGGGTGAACACAGCTGGAAGCTGGGTCTTCCAGATAGGCATCTCTCAAATCCAGCTAGAGAAGTGGAGGATATCATGCCAGTAAAAAGTTTTTCAGGCCGTTCACAGCCACTGTCCAGCCAGTTAAATGACACCGTTCAATGAAATCAACACTAAAGTACATCTTGAGCTTTACTTCAACGTTTAATTTCTAATGTGAAAAAAGAAATGATGAATAGCACATTGTTCTATTTTGCCTTCTAGCGATACTGAGCTTAACCACCTCTTTGTATGCCAACATCTGCATTTTACAGATGGGAATGGAAAAATGTGCACAAGAACCAAAAGAGTTTGATATAAACAGATAAGGAAATGAGATCGAGGTAATTGTTCCTCAGACTTTAAGCTAAGTTCAGGCTCTATTTTTAGCTTCACCAAAGTCTCCAGTGCTAAATATTTAAAGGCTGCCTCCCTCCCTTGCAGTGATATTGCCAACGCTTTGCCCAGCCTGACCTCCAGGTCAGATGCAGATTCATCCTGCACAGCTGCTGCTATGGCACAGCTCACGTCCTGCTGCTTACAGTGGGATTTTACAGAGTAATTCTCTTAAGATTCCTCCATTAAATCAGAGAGATCTTCATTAACTAGCAGCTTTACAAGCTTTCTGTATTAGCACTGCGAGGAAACTGTTATTAAAACCTTTAATTACTAACACATGCAGAACTGACATGCACGCGGGGTGCCTAGCAGAGGAAAGAGAGCCGACAGTTAGAAATGTTGTACTCCAAAGTACATCAGAACAAAGGGCGTGATGATCTTCCAGTTAAAAGAAGGTTTAGAGGCAGAAATGACAAATGAAAGACTGACAGGAGATCAGATTCTGGCGATCTGTAAGGCAGTGAAACAAGGTGCACATCGTAAGTTCAATGGGGATCATGACTCCAAGCAGAAAGGGGTAGCACAAAAGACAATATGAATGAAAATGTATCAGATTTTAAAAAAGAATATTTTTCTTAAGTAATTGTGACTATGGAAACAGGAAGAGACCACAACTTGTAATCTCTCTATGAAGACTTCATTCTCAAAGAGAAAAGGAACTTGAGATGATGATGGGAGGAACAGATGGTAGTCATCATTTTCTGTCAAATACTGCAACACCAAAAGGATGTGCCAGCGTAAACGTGTACTGAGAACAATTCTTCCTTCGTCATATCTCTCTTAATAATACCTAACTGTTGGAGTTCTCTTTGGATCTGAGGGCTTCGTTCACAAGTGCACTACCCGTACCCACCAGATTAGAGCACTTAATGCTGACAATGAAGTAGCCAAGAGGACCGGTCCTGCAGTCATGCTTTAGTTTGGATTCTTAACATACAGCCACGTAATCTGACAGAAGGATCTACGAGGCAACAGATTACGTTTAGTGTGCAGATGTGGTGGGCAGCTAGGGCAGCTCCAGAACAAGCTGACAGAGCAATAACTAAGTGCCTTCAAGGCAGAAATGAAAATAAAACATCTCCTGCCTCTGCCAACAGAGCAATCCACACAGAAGCGTTCCAGCAGGCAGAAAGCATTCAGTCAGTAACACTGCTTCAATATCCATAGCAGCTGATAACGCTGCTCTAAAACAAAACCAAAGGAAAACCCCAAACAGAATGCAGAGGATGGCCACATCTTTACGCCAGCTGCCCACCTGGCTGTGCAGTCTGTGACCAAGACACTCAAGCAAATGTCATTTCAGAAGCAGAATTTCGTTAACTGAACGCTTTACCCTTTGCGTAGAGGTCCACTTGCAAACACAACAGTTCTTCTAATTAAAATAACGCGTTCAGAAGAGGAATCTGGGACTTTTTCAGTAGTAATTTTCAGAAAGAGGAAAAAAAAAAAACAAAACACGTGTTTCAGCCTTAATTACAAGCAGACCGGAGCTCTTCGGAGAGAAAGACGGCACTGCTTTCCAAACGCCTTTTCTTTGGGGACTCGCACACTAATTAGAGCTCCGTTTGCCACGTTTGGAGCAGCACCGCAGCGCCGAACAGAGCGCCCGGACACCCCGCTCCTGCCGCTTCCTTCGCGAGAAGTTCCCTTTGCTCTCGGCTCTTCAGCAGGGACGGCCGGCAGCGCGGCGCGGCGCCGGCCGCTCGCAGGGCACTCGGAGGGCACCTCGCCGCCCCCCCGCCGCCACCCCGGCCCCGCCCGCCCTCCCGCGCTACCTGCCGCGGTCGGATCGCGCCGCGACTCGCCGATCGCCGACTCCCCCCCGCGCCAGGCAGGGCCGGTGACGCGGTGGCGCGATGGCGCGGACCGCCGGGAGATGGAGTTCCGCGGCGGGGGGCCGGGCCGCTGCGAGAGCGAGATACGATGCGCGCTGGGGGCGGCCCTACCGCCCTTGGGTTGGCAGCGGGCCCGTCCCGCGCGGCTCGCGTTCGACGCCGAGCCACCGCCGGGCTCCGAAAGGCGGGCAGCCGAGGGTTCGGCCCGGCGAACGATTTGCTGCTGCGGTGCGGAATCGGCACGGGCAAAGTAGCGAGAGACCGCGGGTGAGCTGCCCGTGTCTTCTCAGACACTGACTGCTGGCCACACGATTTCTGATGCAGGCCAGGATGCCATTGGCCTTCTTGGCCACCTGGGCACACTGCTAACTCAAGTTCAGCCGACCATCGACCAACACCCCCAGGTCCGTTTACTCTACGCAGTCTTCCAGTCACTCTATCCTAAGCCTGTAGCATTGCCTGAAGTTGTGGCCAAAGTGCAGGACCCGGCATTTGGTCTTACTGAACCACATCCCATTGGCCTCAGCCCAGTGATTCAGCCTGTCCAGATCAAGTAAGAGCAAAGCAAGCAGCTTCCACTCCTTTTTGGCTCTTAGAGGTCATGCCATTCCATCTCAGTTTTCATCTACCACTTCTTTTTCTAAAAGCTGGTATTTGTTAACAGCCAACAAAAAATAGAGGAGGGGAATGACCACGGTAGACACTTACAGGACTAGAAGTGTGAGAGAAACTGCATAGAACCCTGGGGGAGGACCATGTAAACAAGAAGAAACTGAGAACCACACATGTGATTAGAGAACAGCTTTTTTATTTTACAATGTACGGAATCACAGAAAATCGTAGGGGTTGGAAGGGACCTCTGAAGATGTTCGAGGCTCCACAACCTCTCTGGGCAGGCTGTTCCCATGCTCTTTCACTCTCAGAGTAAAGAAGTTTGTTCATGTGGAACATATAACAAATGTGACAATGCAAATCTCCCTCTATTGAAGCTCAGATTTGAGAACAAAATCGTTATTAAATTCACAAGTAGAAGAAAGTGAAGATGCAACTGTGTAACAATCCTCTTCCCAAAGAAAAGTCACCATGGTCAACTACGAGGAGAAAATAAGATGAATTAGCCCTATAGATATAAAGAGCAAGATTAAATTGAAAATAGATGGAAAAGAAGAAAGGAAAAAAGAGTCCAGAAGGAAGTTTAATAAAAGAAGTTAGAAGAATGAGGAAGGAAAACCTTTTTTCTGATCCTGAAATCAAAGAGCCCCATCTCTCTAGTGATAGAACAAGAGGTAATGGCCTTAAGTTGCATCAGGGGAAGTTCATATTGGACATTAGGAGATGCTTCTTCTCCGAAAGAACGGTGAGACAGTGCCCAGGGAGGTGGTGGAGACACCATCTCTGGAAGGGTTAAAGAAACAGAGATGTGGCACTGAGGGAAGTAGCTTAGTAGGGGAACTGACAGATCATGGCCTGAACTGGTGATTGAGCACCTGGAGAAGAGGTGTGGCTGGCCTAGGAAGCACAGGCTAAGTGTTTGCACCTGTGCTCCCCATGTAACCGGAAGAGGTGGGCCCAGGGTGGCGTGTATAAGGGCTGGGCACTAAAAGAAGAGCATCTCTTGGATCTGGGATGCTTCCTGAAGAGCTGTGCTGTGTGGTGAGAGAGCCTGTCGCAGCTGGGTGAGTTCAGCTCTTCTTCTTGTCTATGATTATTAGTCTGCCTGCAAGTACTTTGCCTTGTGTTGGCAATAACCTGTAGAAGTGATGTTGCTTCTTTGTGAGTAGAATGTTAGTTATGGGGGATGTGGGTTGCTGGCTTTACGTGATGATCTTGGTAAGCTTTCTGAGCCCTTATGATTCTGTTAGTGAAATGGTACCCTGTAGATGTTGTGGTGTTTGAATGGGTTATTGTGAGGGGCCACCTGGATGCAGTCAGGAGGCGCCTTAAAAACACTCTGGTTTGGAGTAGCTGTGCGTTGGGCAGCTGCTAT